GTAACAGTGAAGGGAACAAAGGCAGATGTAGCCAACTGCCCTCAGTCAGCCACCAAGTCTCACAAGTTCAGGTGTAAATGCCTCTTGCATCTAATTGTTTCCTTCTTCACAGCCCCAGCCTGTTTCAGAAGCTTCATGAAAGAGGCTATCCTGCACTGAGTCTTCACACATGGGATCTTGAGATGCATGGGGTTAGGACAGGCAGAGAATGTAGGAAATGGCAAGCATGTGAGTAAGAGCACACAAATGCACAACAGTGGGTAGTGCAAAGTGTCTTCTGCATTACCCTGTGGAGACACACCGCTCTTGCTGAGTTTGTCTTAGGGAATACTGAGGTAAGACTTTAAAGTTGGGTTGAGACTACTGTACAGAACTTAAAATATGAATAATGAGTATTTAAGAAGGTGAATATGGGGGCACTTGGTTTCTTATAAAGACTAGCAGGAAGGAATCTGTGGTAAGGATCTGTTCTATCCTCTCTCATCAAAAACTGATTCCTTCCTTACTCTAAATCCTTCCATGGCCAAACTCACAACTTTCTAAGGGTTCTGGGGCTACTATCCAGTTCACAGGGATCTCTTCTTGTGGACTTATACACTGTTTATTGTCCTATGGTCTCTCAATAGTTAACTATTCTAACTCAACTCTGAGCTCATGGGTGGTTAGGAGTTAGATTTTCTTTCAAGTTAGTCTCAACACCTCATAATAGTAACTCAATAAATACGTGTTAAATGAAATGTTAGCCTGAAAATATCATTAGAAGACTACATATGTGAAAGAAAATCTCTCCAAACATAAACCATCTCCAAGTCCATGATGTGCTTTATGTAAACCTTTGTCTCCCAATTAAATCATCAAGTCCACTCTTTTTTTAATGGCCAGACATATACACCGGAAAAAAAGGTGAGATGAAAGACTGATATTAGAATGTGAATATTTATAGTTTAATCTCATTTTTCATCAGCAAGTGGTTGGCTTGTCTGTGTATTCCATAGGCAGGCACCCTCTTGCAGTTTTTACCTTGAGTGGAAAATGTATCTTCCCTAATGGTGAAAGAGGGCTTGGGAGGATTCCACTCTTTTCCTGGTGCTTGGGGTATGGAATAAACTTTGCTGGGTTCATTCACTTATTTATCCACACGACCTTGTGTCTGAGCTTCTCCAAAGCCCAAGCAAGTTAGCATGTGCTGGAATGACAGCTCCTAAAGACTTAGTACTATGACAGTGCTCCTGCAGGTTTGCTCAACACAGTCGGAAAGGAAACATTAGTTACAGGCTTCACTTACATGCAGTAGAGTTTAGGTAATAAAAAAAAATTCGGTTGTCTTGCACCAGGGCTATCCTAAGTGTAATACTAATTGTGTCTATCTAATCTAAGGCAGCGGTCAGAAGGGCAGTTTAGACAAAGAAAGCCAGTCAGGTCAGCTCCTCACCCTTGCTCTTTCGAGGCTTCTGCTCAGGGGATGGAAACAGGGACTCCAGAGACATCTGCTCAGGGAGCTTCTCCATGGGCTGAGTCCAATCCCCGGTGCTGCTCCAAGGCTAAAATCTTCTCTAAAAATTCTTCTGAACACGACACAAAGGATGGGCAGTCACTTCAGGAAAGGGTGGGAGAACGGGTCAGATATAGGGAAAACGGTAGGTGAAGGCTTCCCAGGAGAGACTCCCAGGCCAGTAGAAGGTCTGAGAAGCTTCATTCTCTCTTCAAACAAGCTGGGTCCTGCCATGAGAAGGTCACCAGGCCCACAGCACTGGGAGGTAGCCTACGGGCCCAGGCGCTGCACCCAGGCGGGCGGGACCCAGCAGGTTCCTGCGGCCCCACCCCAATTCCACAGGAGGCCCCCCACCTCCCAGTCCAAGCCCACTGCCGCAGTAGGAGCTTGCCACCTGCAGCAACGCTGGCTGCCCCACTCTCCTCCCAGAGCCTAGGGTCACTGAACCCTTATACTTACTCGCTCAGACCGATCCATGCGCTCCACAGTGTTGGCGACTTCGCCCTACGCTGGGAAGTCTGGAAAGTCAATTCCTTGGTGTGCACTTCCGGGTCCCATCTAGGCGGTTGGAGGTCTAATCTCGATCACTGGTGCTCCAGCGGCTGCCGGGTCCAGAACGGCGTTGGGGTGGGGACCTACCTCAGTGTTTGTTCTTACCCGGGGAGGATTGTAGCAGGATGGGGCAGATCTCTGTACACCCTTTATCGCCTAAGTGCACGGAGGATCTAAATCGGTTGTTTCCTTTTCTCATCCTCTATCCGTGTGCACCCCATCCACCTGTGTGTACCTCCTCCACCTGACTCCTGCCCTGTGTTACCACCCACCTCACCTCTATTCTTCAAAATCACAGGTCAGTTTGACCCGCCGAATTCACGTTATCTAGGCCCCGGGTCCACCCTGTCTTTCTCTCCCTTTGTCACTTCAACACATCCCCTCCCAAGTTTGCCTGGAGTATATAAGCAGGAGAAACACACTGGTACCAACACCGATATGAGGAAGAAAAGCCATGGAGAGGTTAAGATCCAAAGACCCTATTGCGCCTGCAGTATAGATTTGCCAGAGGCACATTTAATATGTTGAAACTGGAAAAAGGGTTAAGAAAATGAGTTGTTTAAAAAGCAGCTACCAGTTGTGGAGCATTTAAGCTGCCATTATCTCATTAATCTTTACAACTATCCCATAAATCTGGTACTCTTTACTATCTCACATGCCAGAAGCTGCAATTAGCGACTAGAGGCAGCATTTGAATCCTGCTATATACAAATCAGAGCCGGGTGTCCATTTGCACCCAGGAGGGACAATGAGAAAGACTAGGTACAAATTTGTAGTATGTGCAACCACAGAAAAGGAAGACAGACACTTATAATTTTGTCCATTATATATTTATAAACAAATAAAATACAAGAGATTAACCATTTTCTAAAAGTGAAGAGTGAATAGTATACATCAGCAAAATAAAAAACTCCAGCATTATTTTCTTGTTAATTTGTACAGGGCACCATCTGATTTGATTGAAATCGCTTACAGTCTTGGATTAAACAATGGTCCCTTTGCACACTCATATTTTGAAAATGTGATGTCGTATGATAGAAATTTTAGAAGAGACAGCTATCAGTTGCTGACTCCAACAGCGACTGCCTGTCAGGAGGCAGTTTCTACCACAGCCCAGGATGTCCGATGATTTCTCTAATCATATTTACTGATAAATGCTCCAAACCCAGGGCATCCCACCCTGGACAGTGCTAGTTCTGCACTATTAAATGCTTGCTTGTTAATTCCCCCTTTAGAGTTTACTTCTATCTAAACATCTGTCTTCTATTTTTATTGGTTTTATTTTAGTGTTTATATTAACTTTTTGGCACTTATTATATGACCAGCACCTTTTACATTATCTGTTTAATTTTCATGCTGTTATTAACCATATTGTATAGACAAGCTTAGAAAAGCTTAAGTAAAATTTCCAAAGTCACATAGCTAGTAAACAGCCAAGTTCAAACATAAATATGTCTAATTCCAAAGCTATTGCTTTGACAACTAATGTTAGTCTTACTCAGTGGATGGCTTCATTCATTGGATTAGGTTAACTGTACCCTTTAGCTAACACTGAATATCATAGAGCCTAGCAATTGTATTACTGAATGAATGAAGGGATGGATAAGGTTACATTTCTAAATGTGAGAATCCCATCACACTCTACCGAGATGACACTCCATGAGTCTTTTGAACTCTGCTCTTAAACTTCATCAATTTCCCCCATACTATTCCTAGGGTGAGGTATTTCTCCAGAGGGCTCATTTATTACCCTGAAAATGCCATACTTTTTAATCTGTAGGCCCTGACATGCTCTCCCCTGAAATACTCTCCTTGCTCCTCTCCTAACACACCCCATCTCTTTTGTCTCTAGATACTCTTGCTTAAGCCAGAACCTAGGAATCGAACTTGATTTCCCCAATACCTGCTTTGCTCCACTGCTATAACCACAGGTGACAGTGGTTTTAAATCTTGGTAAAAATACATGTCCATCAGCAAGTTCCAGTTAGCATCAAAAATTAAGAGCACATTTGGATACTGAAAAGTGGATATATAAATCTAGTTATGGGAGTGGGGTGGCTTGGCAAGAGATAGGAATTTGGGGCCTTTGATCTGTGGCCTGACATTGTCAAAATTGTCTAAGCCAGTTTCAAGAAGGGGAGGTCTCTGACTAGCTCCCAAAAGATACTGGAATATTTTCTCCTGGTACCCCAGAGAGCTCGGAGAGCTTTTAGGATCAGTTGCAGACTGGTTATTACCTAATGGTGAACCATTAGGGTGTAACAAAATGAAGAGCCATCAAAGAAAACTTCTCTGGTTGGTGTCCAACTTCAAAATGATGGAAAGTTTTGGAGCCAAACAGACCTGACTTTGAACTTGCTATGTGACCTTAACAAGTTCTTTAATCTTTCTATACCTCAGTTCCTCTGTGAAATGAAACTAGTTCCCTTGCAGAGCTGTTGGGAGGATTAAGTCTGAATGTGTACATACATACATGTACATTTAGGTGGATGGACAGATAGTAGATGAAATTAGGTGTTTCTCAACTATTAAATTTCTTTTCTTCCCTCTCCAACATCAAGACTAAAATGACTAAGAACACAAACTCATATCATGCTGTAACAATAATTATCATCAAGTTTAAAGTAGCCTTGAGGATATTTGGTTTCTGATTTTTAAAAATGTGTTCATTTTTTATAAAACACACTCTGCCTAGTTTTACTGAAATCTCAAATTATTTACTTTTACTTTATGTACTAACAGCATCCAATTGAATAACGCTTTAAATCCTAAACATTCAGACTTTATTCCTCAAGAGTTCTGTGGAAGAGCAAGTATCAGTACACAGGAGAGTGATCTACTCTCTTTGTGAAGCAGGTTTCTGGAAGGAACTGAGTCGCAGCCAGGACGGTGATTCCAAGATTTCCAAATGCTTTGGCTAAGGCCTTCAGGTTTTATTTGAAACAGATTCTCAGAGTATTAAACACACCTTTATTCAAGTGGAGGTACAAAAGCACATTGCTAAACCAAATGCATACATGTGATTTTTATATATTCTGCCATTTAGAGATTACTTAGTTCTGTCTCATAATCATTGGAGTTGACTATTATTCTCTAAACATAAGATTATACAGTCATTGACAGGAAAAAAACCATGCATTTTCATTTGCTTTTACATTTAGATCAATTGATTTAAATCTCTACCTTGCCCTGATTAGATCCTATGCTTGCTGATGGCTAAGAGGTAAAATATAGTGGTAGAACTATCCTAGAGTTTAGCCATAAAATGCTTACAAAGCAAGCAATAAATCTGTATATATTTGTTAAGAATCCCTCAGAATATTACAAGACCTGAACTATGAAGGCCTCAATTGCTGGGATGACAACTAGAATTTTAAATAACACTTATTCACAAAATATTAAGAAGATGGAAAAATATAATAAGATGCTTTGACATCATCTAAGAATTATGAACATTGCTAGGTGTTATAATGGTGATCTTGAAATCTGAAGCCAACATTTGTGACCACTTTTATCGATAAAGAAAATCATGTTCTTTTATATGGCCTGTAGACTTTAGTAAAAATACAAAAAAAAGTGATAATAAGTAATTATACACAAAGCCCCCACACTTCAAATACTATCCTGGATTGATGAGGGTTGATTGGGCATGAAAAGCCAAATAGACAAAGAAGCAATCTTAACAGTTAAAATTTTATAATACCAGGAATATAACTGCCACTGTCTTGAAAACAGCAAGATATATAAAAAACAGCAGTATCTTTGTTGGAAGGCTGAGCTCTCTGCTTTATGAAGCTCTCTGACCTTTTAGTATATGTTCTTTATGTTTTGCCATATCAAAAGCAGACCCAAGCATTTTTGCTGGCCTTCAGTGGAAGTATATAAAGTAATTTTAAACTCAGACATGCAGAGTGGATGCTGAATGAATGAATGTAGCTATACCACCAGGAGTCTCATTGGCTCCCTGATGTCTGCATCCTCTTTTAGTGGGCTGTAGATGCAGACAGGTCAGCTAAGAACTTGAGTATCACCTGAAAATGTTTAGCTGCCTGCCATAAACTCAGGGGAACCAGAATCCTTCATACATAAGTGACAGGATGTGGAAATCCAATTCTTTTAAAAGAAGATGCTTTACTTTGGGAAAGATACCAGAACAGCAGCATCAAGAAGGGGTGGCATACTTGCTGGTGAAAAGCTTAAAACCAGTAAACTGTCATTTGAAGGTGCTTAAGAAAATGGAGAAATCAACAAATCCAAGTGTTGTGGCTGGAAACAAATAGGATGTATGGTCCCCAGAAAAGAGTAGGCCTGACAGTCTGTTTTGGAGAGAACTTGGGCTGAGAACAGCAAAAAAAAGCTAAATGAGCTACTTTCCAGACACTGACATGTTTTACACTGGTGTAATACAGTATCTTAGGGAAGCTGTGAACAATACATACCAATTTCAGAAAAAATAAAAATGTTTATAGGCCATATTAAAATAAAAATAGCTTAAGTGAATTTCATAAATAAAGTATACATAGTTACTTACAACACTTATTATATTAAAGAATGCCATGAGAAAACAGCACTGCATTCACCATGTCACTCCTTAGACTAGATTCTTCTGCAATGAAAGATTGGGACTATATATTAACGATTTCATATACAAATCATCAACAATTTTCTCTCCAGTATTTTGATGTTGAATAAAGCCAGAAATATGGCAGTAAATTTTTCCATTTGAATTATATCAGATTCTGGTCTGTTATAGATATTCTGATGATGAAAAAGACTTGGAACTCCTATACTCAATGGCTTCTCTTGGGTATGGATTCTTTGATGTTGAATGCAGATTGAAATGTGACTGATCTTCACACACACATTTATTACATTCATAGGCTTTCTGCATGGAATGAAACTGATGCTGAACAAGGTAGTTTATGTGACTGAAGGCTTTTTCACATTCATTACAGTGATGGAATTTTATTCCTGTATGAATCCTCCAATGATAACTAAGGTATACACATAGCATGAAGCATTTACCTTCAATATATTCATAGGTTTTTTCATTGGTATGGGTTTGCAGAGTTTAACACTAACAGCTCTCCTACATTCATCACATTCAGAAGGTTTCTCTCTGGTGTGCATTCTCTGATGCTGAATAAAGGCTGAGCTCTGACTGAAGGTATTACCACATTCAGCACACACGATTTCTCTCTGGTGTGAACTCTCAGATGTTGAATGAGGCCTGCAGTTGACTAAATGTCTCCCCATGTTCAATACATTCATAAGGTTTCTCTTTGGTATTAATTCTTTGATGTTGAACAAGTTGTGCTCTCTGACTGAGGTTCTTTTCCCATGCATCACAATCAAAGGCTTTTTCTCTGGTAAGAACTTCTTGTTGCAGGACAAGATCTGAGCTATGATTAAAACTCTCCTCATAATCATTACACTCAGACGATTTTTCTTTCCTGTGAATTTTGTGATGCTGAATAAGGCATAAGGGCTGGCTGAAAGCTTTTCCACATTCATTACATTCATGTGTTTTATCTCTTGTGTGAATTCTTTGATGCTGAATAAGATGGGAATTCAATCTGAAGTCTTTTCCACATTCATTACACGTATAGGGCTTTTCTCTGAGATGAATTCCTTCGGGTTTAATAAAGGTCATCCCACATTCATTGTATTCAAAGGCTTTCTCTTCACAGTGAAGCTTCTGATGTTCAATTAGGTATGAGGTATGGTAGAAATCACTGCCGCAGACAGTACACTTACAGGGCATCTCTCTGTGAATTCTCTGATGTTGAATAAGGTGAACACTACGACTGAAGACTCTTTCACAACTGCCACATTTATAAGATTTTGCTCTAGCATGAATCCTCTTATGCTGAGTTATGCCTGAGCTCTGACTAGAAGATTTATCAGATGATTCACAGGACTTATCAGATGCTTCATATTTATAGGGTTTTTCTCTAGTATGTATTCTTTTATGTCGACTAAGACTTGAGCTCTGACTGAAGGATTTCTCACATTCTTTACATTTGTAGGGTTTCTCTCTAGTATGAATTCTCTGATGTCTAGAAAGGGCTGAACTCTGATGGAAGATTTTCTCACATGCATCACATTTATAGGATTTCTCAGTGGTGGGCATACTCTCACATTTAGTAAGGTGGGAGAGCTCCATTAAGCTTTCCTTATATTCACTACTCTGAAAATCCTGTGTTAGATTTATTTGTTTGTGCTTCTCAGCAGCTGAATTCTGGCTGAGGCTCATGTCATACTTATCAATGTCATCAATGTTCTGTATTCTAAGATCTCTCTGGTCTGTATTAAGGGTAGATTCCAGACTGAAGCTTTTTTCAGGTTCCTTGCATTCATTGTTCTCACTCGTGAAAGTTTTCTTGCTGATTGTTATTTGCCTAAACTCTCTCTCCAGGAATAAAAATTTCCTTAGGATTTCCTGAAGCCTTTCTAATCTGTCCTCAGATTTATATACTTCTCTAGTCTCAGGAACTTGGGTGATATCCTTTTTGAGTCTTCCTACTCTTGCTTTGCATGAATGTACTTCTGCAATTTTCTGCTTAGGAATCAACAGCTTGTTCTCTTCTCTGGTTTCTGCATCTGATTCAATATATAAATAGAAAATGCAAATGTAATCTGTATACTGTGCTTAGAAAAAGAAAACTCAGAGAGGAACAAAACTAAATAATCTAGTTACTATCAGGATAAGAGAAGTTTATTTGCTCTAAAACACAGGCACAAAACCTCATCAGCAGATATAAGAGCATTAATAGAAACAGTGAGGTAGGCTCCAAATGGTTCAGGGTGTGGTAGAAACAGAAGGTACTTTCAGCAGAATAAGAAGATAACCAATTAAGGTGTTTCAAAGGAGAAAATAGAAAAATAGTTCAAAAGAATTATAAATAAGCAACTTGAACAGGGACCTAGTTCAACCTGTGGATGATAAGGGATAAAATAAATGCAAAGAGTTCATCAAAACTGAAGGCAAAAAGAAAGAGTTCTCCATTTTGGGACACAGCTAGAGCTCTTCATTCTGATTTCCAAAAGAGCTACAGCTTGGCTCAACAACTGGACTAATTCCATCTGATTGATTCTGCCTTACTCACCTGAGCAGTCATCCCTTAGGACTTCTCTATTCTTTGTTTCCAGATCAAAGACCTGTAGATCTTGTTCCAGTTGAGAGATCCCATCAGGCTTGGAAATTGGAAATCCTGCTCATAGAGAAGGAAATGGGATGTGGCAATTTATCCCCAGATACCATACCAGCCACTTTTTCTCTTAACTAATGGTTAATGGAGAGAGAAAGTAAATTCTTAGAAGACATTAGGAAGGTCTGAAGAGTGAGAGTGGCAAATATGCTCTACAAGGAGCTCCTATTTGTGCTCTATAATGAGATGTGTTTAGGGGCAAGTTTATGACTTTTGGGAGCACATTCATTTAAATATTATTCAGGCAAGGAATTTGTGCATGGGATAATTTCACAAAACTTATCATTATGATTCTTCACCTGTTGTCTATATATCAATCTTGTATTAGACCTAGCCTACAACTACAAAATTGAGGTCATCAAAATATAATTTCGCTGGCCTTGAGAAAGGTGAATATTCAAGTACCTGTTGTATGGTGAGATGAACAGTAGCAAAAGAATTGGTGAAGACAATAAATAGTCCTAGGATTAATCTCAGAAAACAATTCAATTCAATTTGCATGACTAAACAAAGAATATGACCCATCTCATCCATTAGGAGCTTACACTCTTTGTTTATTCAACACATTTATGGAGTATGCAAAGTATGTATGGCGATAAAGGGCCCAAGCAGGCAAGGTCAATTCCCTCAAGGACCTTACACACTCTTAACTGCAGAAACAGATATAAACTAACTATAACATGATAGTGAGGAAAGTGCAATAAAAGTGCATCTTCACATAAAATGGTCTCTTTCTGGCTTGTATAATGGACTGCAAAGATCTAATCTCTTCTAAAGTGAAAGAGGCAGTCTGCTTCTGAAGGGCAGAACTATAGTATTGAAAAGGGCATTTTCTTACACATGTTCAGCCCTGAAACCTTCTAGTAGCACCCATACAAGGTCTAGCTCAAGCCTCTCATCTCCAAAAGCCTTTCTCTTCACTTACTGAATGTCTCCAAAAATTATTACTTGTTTCTCTTATTCTGACATGTCACTATATAATGGAATTTATAGATTTTTTAAATTGGTTTCAGATATCATCTCTACCTGATTTATAAACTCTTGGATGGCAGGGACTATATATCTTGTATCTTGCACTTCTTTTAATTTATTTACTTAAGAGCTACTCATTGAGGGCCAATTTTGTGCCCAAGTGTCAATATACAACAAATAACTAATGTTTTTAAAAGGGTAATGGGGCTGGAAAATATGACAAACCAACAGCTGCCCTCTTGGGATTCCATGTGAGGGCCTATGAGCAGAGAGATCAGAACAGATGTAAGGAAGACATTTATTTACTATGTTTCTGAATTCCTGCTGGGCATTAATAGAATCCTTTTGGACTCTATTTAGTTAAGGTCCTCCATATTAAATAAAGTAGTTTTGCAAGTTTTAAAAAAAAGTGTGGCTTGAAGCAGGATCATGATTTGCAACTTTTATTTTTATTTTTTTGCAACTTTTAATTTTGAGATATTTATTAAGGTGTTTCTAAGTATTTCATAACTAAAACAAAGTTTATTTACTCTATATTGACACTTGAGTCACATATGTACAATAGGAAAGATCATCTTGATGTGGAATGAAGGGTCTGATTTCAGTGTTTAAGATAATGTAGAAAGGTATAAGAGAAAATGCTTAGCAGACAGAAATACAAGACTGCAGTTCAGAAGACAGTAGAGTCTGAGATATAGACTTAAAGCCACCTATATCGTCAAAATATTAAGCTTTGGTTTACTAAGCAGTTGGTAGGTACAAAGTACCATGCCAAGAGCTGCACAAGTTTTTACTCACTTAGTACTCACCATACCTTGATGAGGTAGTTACTACACTGCACCCTTTTACAAATAGGAAAACTAAGAGTCAAAGGGTTACCTGTAATTAACTTCCCCAAGATCATAAGTGGTCAAACTAGGGCACAAACCCAGACAGTCTCATTTTAGAACCTTACTTTTAAATAATCTACAGGTAAAAAAAATGATTGTGAGTGAAATCCATCCTTTCTTCCAAAATATGTGTAGAAAAACAGAACACCAATTTATTGATAATGGAATAAAAGGTAAACATAATAAAAAGAATGAAAAAATCGTGACTGAAGAGCCAGTATCCAACAGATTTGAAGTCATAGATGTTTTAATGAAAAGGGATCTAAGAGATCATTGGTATTGAAGAAATTAAGATCTCTTTATAACAAAAATCCAAACTCCTAGGTATAGTCAGAGCAATATTCTATTTGAGGAGATTCCACTATAAAGAAATAATTTGAACACTCTTCTAAAATTTGTGTTTGTATTAAAAAAATTTGGTCTGTAGCTCCTGTCACTTGCTGTCGTCCTTTTCCAAACAAATGTTTCAATAACTACTATCAGCCAAATACTTACAAATATAACCTAATTTACTTGGCACAGAAAGGCAGACATTATGTTTCATATTTTATTAGTGAAGAAAATGAGTGTCAGTTTAAATATTTGCTCAATATATCACAGCTGGTAACTGGAACTCAATTTAATCCCAGTTTGTATTCTTTCTAATCTACCACACTAAGGGTCACAAAAGCATCAAGACAGATTTTTCTGCCATTAGTGTAAATGTCTTTTACTAAATTTAAGTCAAAACTCTGTACTTTCAAAATAAGCATGTGCTTTAAAGTTTTTCCTCATTCAAGCCTCTCATCTAAAATTACTTAACTTTTTATTAAAACCTTTTAATTTTTAAATTTAAACCTTGACCATTTTCTAATTAAATTTATTTTTATTTAATCTGGTCTTTAAAAATAACATTTAAAATATACTTCATTTGGTTTGCTGCCTGTCCTAGAGCTGTGTTAAGAGTCATGCCTTTCTTCCTGGTCCTTAAGAAATACAAAAATAAAATCTTTCCTTAGCAATATTGTTCTTGAGTACATACTTATCCTAATGAAATAGATCCCTAAAAAAAAAAAGAAATAGATCCCTAGACAATTTTACTTCTTCTTGAATGTATGTCCTTTCTGCTCCCAAACTGTACAACCTTACGCCTTTCTGTTCAATTTATCATGGTCATTTCTAATTGTCACCAAAGTACAGAGCCATGAAAATATAAAGTCACCACATGTGGTTTGACTAATTGTTCTAGGGCACAAAGTAGTGAAAAGAGCATTGGTTTTAGAGTCAGATTTGAGTCCCAAGCCTACCTCTGACCCTGCATGAATCACTTAACTTTCTCTGAGCCCCAGTTTCCTCAGGTATAAAATAGAATACCTGCTCAGGCTACAGTAAGGATTAAACGATATATATATATATATATATATATATATATATATATATATATATATATATAGTACCTAGTAACATACTGGTTACTAAAGAAATAATAAATAGCTGTGGCAGTAAAAGACATTCTACATAACCATTTTTGTCCACAGGATATCAGCTTCAAAAAGTTAGGGGGTAGGTGCCTAACATTCCTGACTTATCAACTCACTTATTATCAAATAGAACTATGAAACATATTTCTAATGCTGTCATCTAATTAGACACCTGCCATACTGCCCCATGTAAAATGCAATCTAGGCCTCTTTCCCATTCTTAATCTCCAGTGCTTATTCTTAATTTTAAGCACTAAGTCACAGATAACTTCCTTTTGGGGATGATCCTCAAGCCAGTAATACATACACTATTAACAGAATATACTTCTTTTTAGATTTGGTGATGAAAATTTTGACTTTCTACCTGCTTTTTCACTCTTTTATTCAGCTGTTCATATTCTGTATATTTACTACAGTATATGCAAAGCACTTAACCAAAGGACCAGAGTTCTGATGTCTGTGACAAATTTAACTCAAAGCTACTGAATGGGAAAAAGATGTGAACTGGAAGGTAGGGCTAAGTCAGGGACTAAATTATGTAAACCTTTATTTTATAACACCAACATTAAGCTAAGTTAATTACGTGTAGAACTTTACATTTCACATGGAGTTTGCTGAACCCACAAATATGAAAGGTCTTCCCAACGACTACAAAAAATAATTACTAAGAAGATGCTGCTGACTTGGTCCCAAAAGCAAACTGAGTAAGAGAATTTCTTGTATGTATTTGTATCCAGTAAATGTGCATGCGTGTCCTCTGTGTGTGAAGAGATGAGAGGAAATGGGATGAAATTCAGTTTAATAGATTACTATGCTATTAGGTTGATTAAGCTAAGAAGTGTCTTTACTCCAAAAAGTAGACAGGTTAAATGTTGGAAATTATATAATTAGATAAAATTTACAGTATCTTACAATTACATAACACTTTACAGTATACAAGCTTGTTAAATATACATTCAATTTGATACCCTGAAATAAAGAAAATAGATTCTTTTGCCCTCCCATTTCCCCTCCATCAAGGACAGAGGTCACGAACACTTGATCAGGAAAGGTCATATAAATGCAGAACAGGTTAATGCAGAAAGGGGACAAAGGCAGGACCTTGGAGGTGACCACAAGGACTTAAAGGAAGAAGACTAGAATGTTAAATATGAGAAAAGCCTAGGGGGTCACAGGACAGTTAGGCATCAGAAGGGACAGGTCCTGTTCACTACAGAAGGAGGGGAGTACAAAGTATGTTCCACATTCTAAAATAACATGAAAAGATCATAACTGAAGAGCTGGAGTTGAACTCTGTGGTTCCTCAGAACACAAGTAGATGACCACCAACCGTGGCTTCTGAATGAACTCAAAATTCAGGATACAAACGCATCTGGTTGCAATGAAGGACTTCCTTGGCCCTTTACAAATTTAACAAAGGTCATTTGAGGAGCTGCAATTTTACATAGTAGTGGCATCCTGGGAGCATCTATTCCATCAATCAAGTGTAATATATTATAATCGTGGAAAAGGAGTTTCCGAGCGGGGACGAGCAATATCGATGGGAAGCCGATACTTGGGCCATCTCTTGGAGATTCCTGCTGAAAGGACTGCAAGTGTTTCTCCAGAGAAAGCACTTGCCTGGGTATGACTCAGGGCCGGGCAGGAATTCACACTATGAATCCGGGTGGTGGGAAGACGGAGAAGTATGCCTACAAAGATCAAAGAGCCAGGAATGGAAAACAGGCTAAAACCTCCCCGGTGGGCAGGCTGCCTCCCCACAGACAAGAAGACCTTTTTAATCCTGAGTGTAATCAAGGAAGACAAAGCAACACCCTAGATGCCACTAGCATAGGCAAAGCAAAAAATAAAATAAAATAGAAAAAGAGCAACAGAAAGAAAAGGAAAACTGTGATTAAATATATACATAAATAAAAAGAACAAAAGCAGAGACAGGCAAACAAAAAAAGAGAGGAAAAGGAGCAATGCTCACATCAAGGGAGCTACCAACAAAGCCCACTGATGCTTCTCCACAGCACCACAGGTTGCCTAATCTCGACCTCCTACGGTAGCATCCAAATGACAGAGGAGAGACTTGGTTTGAGTCTGAGACTTCTGCTTGGAATGAGGTTATTTAGGATTATCATCTGGGTGATTCATTGAAATGTACTCACAGTGACTCATGCCTTTAAATGAAGTCCTCAAATTTTTCCAGTTTGGAGATGAATTTAGGAATCTTAAAAGGTAAGGGATTACTCAACAAGAAACATTTAACCCTATCTTTTTAAAAGGCATTTCTTCTTCCAAAGAAAATGGGAAAGTCAGATACAGGGGCACTGAAGTACCAGCAAGGAAAGTATCTGGTTGTGGGTTGGGAGGCCCTAGAGTCTCTCATTAAAAAAAGAAGAAGAAAAAAAAAGGCGGGGGGGGGGGGGGGGGGCGCGGGGGGAGATAGGAAAGGTGAAAACTTAGGCAAAGCACAAGCAACTCTCCCTTTTCTAAAAGGGAAGAGATACCCAACAAAAGCAGGAACCATTAACTCAGGATAAGGAGTAGAATGTCTGGTCTTGAAACCCCCCAGAGGAAAACCACTCCCAGAGGAGATGACCTTAAAGATAGAGGATTCAGAGGTTCTAAGACCTGGAATCTGAGCCAAACTCTACTTTCTCAGAGACCTCACACCTACTCAGTAAAGGAATCCCAATAGATCAACTGAATAAAAAGACAGTCCTTACCCAGTGAGACCACGTTCCCATAATTCTCTAACATCACTTCTCTGTAGAGATCCCTCTGAACAGGGTCCAGGCATCCCCATTCCTCTCGAGTAAGGTGCACAGCCACATCCTCGAATGTCACAAACTCCTGAAATAACACAGCCTGGCTGCTCTTGGGAATGAGGCCACTACAGCATCATGGCCAGAGAATGATAGAGATGATACAGAGTCTCCAGTGTGTGTTTATGTCAGGGAGGAGTGAGAACAGATTAGAATCTAGGGAATAAGGTCCATTACCCTTTAACGGCTAATAAGCACCCATCAAAACACTAGGGCTAAAGAATAAACAGTGTTTGCCAGTGGTGATTGGAAAGATGGAAAGGTGGTTTGTGTAAAGTTCAGGTCTCTGAAGAGATCAGTTCCGAAACTGGGGTCTGCTACTGAAAAAAAAAATCCAGGCAAGGTTTACAGATGGGGTGAAGGAAGGGCCACACTCAATCAGCAGCAACAGTCCCTGAGGAAGAGATGGTTCCTCAGCTCACCTGGTACCTGGCTGTCAGAAGTGCAGCTGCCTGGTCTCCTGGGCTTCCCTCGTGGGGAAGAGCAGGCACCTGGGGAACAGGTGGAGCTAAGGGAGGAGAAAGGAGCCAAGAGTGAGAGTAGCCCTTCCCCAGGGCTCCCTTACTGATAAGAGTCAGTAGGACCCTTCTTCACATCAACATTCTAGTAAAACCAATGAATGCTTATCAGGTACTGAGTGTGTCTACTGTGCTCCTCCTCAGCACTTGCCTGCCCTACTTACACGTGTTTAGACCCATGATTCAGGACTTTAAGCACTGTACCTGTTTTGCAGATGGGCAGAGCAAAGCATAAGGATTTGTAGTGACTTGTCCAGGGCCATGGTTATTTAGTAGATTTCTGACCGTTTCCTAGACACTGTTCACTAAGCCTTTCTCTTTTGAATGAGCGCTGTCTCTGCAACCAGTGTGTAAGGCCCCTAAGAATAAGGAATGGCCATCTCTTTCCTCACAGTCTTTTCCGCACTCCCACAATGCCCCACAGCACTCCGTGTACTGTGGCACCCAGTGTTGCTGACACACAAGTTATTTCATAGCAGTTGGCCATGAGTATTCTAAGATTAGATTCTTATAAAACAAAGGAAGTACGATACAATAAAAATGTTATTATGTAGACAATATGTGACATGTATACATTCATACAGGCATTTGCACCCAACCAAGCAATTAAATGGGGACTTTCTTAACCAAAATTAAATTAGTCACAAATATTGCAGCTGCAACAGAATGGCAGGTGGCAGAGCACAAAAGGTCATCAAGGAGGGAATACACTAAGTGAAGGGAAGGGACAGACTCTAAACCTAAGAAGAAATGGAAGCCAGGCAAGGATTGTGAGATGCAGCAAAAACAGCATATTTTAGAAATTATTGTGGATGTGGTAACTAGGATGAAGCTAAAGTTGTATAAAGGCACAACAGAGTGAGTGATCAGGACTGAACTGAGTCACATCTGTCCCTCCCTTCCAGACCTCCCTCTAGGAGTCACCTTCTTATTGAAGTTCCTGGCCTCTCTCATACCAGGCCCAGAAGCCCCTCTCCACTCCCATTCTCCTGGATGTAAGTGCTCTCCCTGCCTTACCCCCAGTGAATCCCTGTTCCATGTCGGTGTCCTGCACGAACTGAGGCTCTGGGGACAGACCCTCAGACTGGGTCTCCAGAGACTGGAATTGGACCCTTGGTGATCCTGCCGCTTCCTGGACCGATATTTCCTCCATCCCTGTTTTGGAGGCCAATGACCATCACTGTGGGGTGAGATTAGGAAAAATCATTGTAATAAGTTAAAATGACCCAGAATTTCATATCCTCAGGACTTAGCAAAGTATCTTAGACACTGTAAACACTAAATAAAAAGTTAATAATGATTACCCAACTAAATTAAACGGATTTGGTGGAACTTTTTTAAAAATCAATAAAGTACAATTTAATATAGTAAAGATTTCTGTGGAAAGTTTAAAATATTTAACATTTACAAACATCTATCAGGGCTCAAGTTCGTATGCAGAGAAATATGCTAGTTATGATCACTCGTTCTTTTTAAGCCCATACTTCTTAGGAAATTACCTGGTGACACTCTGTCAGCCCACTTTCAATTACTAAATGGTTTTGACTAAGAACAAAAATCCACTTTGGAGATGAGACCCTTCACCAATTTAGGCGAGGTAAGTAGGCCGTTTACCACAGTCCTGACAGTAACCCAGAGAAGAGCTGTTATTCAAACAGGTTTGACTGGTGTCCTTCAAACCCAAGGACGCGACAGGGTTTTGTCCCCCTTCCGCAACCCTCTTACGCGACAGGGTCTGTCCCCCTTCCCCAACCCTCAAAAAGGACCCACGCGCCGGGTTCTCCGAAGGCCTCTGCCAGGGCTGCCCTCCCCCCACTTTCCTTAGGTGAAAACAAGGTCCCAAAAGGGCGAGGCAGGCCACAGATACCCAGCAAGGGTATACTCACACCAAGACACTGTCCCTTGATCCTGACAGCGGTATCCTCAGTCCGTGAAGCAAATCCCGACCAAGGAAAAACAGGCCCTCGCTCTACCGGCCCGGCGCGCTCCAGGTTACGGAAACCGCCGTAGGCGGGACATGGCGCCTCCGCCTCCTCTCCCTCCCCCAGAACCAAAACAAGGGGCTGTCCCTACTGCGACCCCAGAACGGCTTCCAAAGACTCACCCGAGCGGAGCGGCGGCCCAGGCTGCCGTACCGTCGCAGACACCCTCGCTCGCGGAGCCACCCCGGCCTTTCGAGGGTCGCTCTTCACCACTGGGAAGGCGGTGCTTCTCAGCGGCACTTCCGGAGGCGGAGTCCAGAGGGCAGGCCCCCGGATGCGGGCCCTGGATGAAGGCCCCGGATGAGGTGTGGGAACCAGCTAGGTTAGCTCGCAGGGCTTTTTTCCTCCTACCCTGCCAACCCTGCTCGGCCACCTTTGTGACCAGAATACCTGTAATGACTGACAGCCCCGGCCTTGGGAAGGCTGCCCCGCTGGCCCTTCCTTGCTTCAGCCAGTCTTCGAGACTCCCTGCGGGAAAGTGGGCAGCACACATGAATATCGGGAGGTGAGAAAGAATGGCAGACCTAAAGGTCAGATTTCCTGAGTCAGCCGTTCGGAAGCTAGCACAAGGGTACAGAATATACTGATTAAACAGAGGATTGAAGGCTCTTCGGTTATAGAAGGTACACAGGAAGTCGGGGATGGGAATCTAATAACGTTCTTGGGGCAAGGCAGGGGCACTGGGCAAATTGCAGTGGAAGAGAGAAACTGAGACTAGAAGAGAGCTGCGTTCCTGGACAGACTGGACTATGCAGAAACCTGGATAGATAAAGCACGGAGAACTTGGATAGTCAGGCCAGAGTGCCGGAACAGAACCCCCTAGAGCATTATGATGTCATGAATCTTTAAAGAATGTGGTCTTGTGCAAGGAGATCTGCTAGGGACTAGCAAGTCTCTTAAGGAATAAAAATAGTGATTTGAAAGGGATTTAGGTATTACTTATTTGTTTAAGCCCACAAATCAAATGTTATCCTTTAATGCTATTTGTGATTTTTAAACTATAGAGCTTTAAAGAAAATATATGAGCAACTGAGCACTTCATTAATTTTTCCCTTATGCCCACCACTGCACTAGGCATGGATAAATACAAAAAAATTAAAACGTTCACACCAGAATTGATGCTCTAAATATGGGTTTGCCTTCCCAACTGCTTTGCCTCCACTAGCACCATCATCTGAGAATTTACAGGATGCCTCATCCATTGGACATACCTTAAACTAAGCAACCCATTTTGTAGTCAAGTAGGTGTGAAAATGAGCTTGTAAACACAGAATTCGTGATGCTTACCCATCATTTAGAGGCAGCTAGCTTGGCAGAACTATGGAAAGGCATGTATGAAGACTTGGCTAAATTGCTAAGTGGCTGGGGATACAGTATATGCATTGATACACACTGAACCAATAATATAAACATGGTATTGTATCTCCAACATAAAGACTATAGGAACCAATGGATCAGAATAGTGGTGGCCCCTATTACTGTCACCCAGTAATCCATTTGCGGAATTTGTGCTTTCTACTTTCAGACCTAGAGTCTGCTGGGTTATGGTCCAGATTTTCTAATGAATGTTTAGGAGATACCTTGTGTTCTACTTAACTGGAAACTGAGAATAGCACCAAGCCACTTTGGGTCCCTCATGCCAGTAGATAAGTAGGCAAAAAAGTTATTATAAATGCCCCCACAGTCCCTGCCACACACACTATATAAATGGAAAAACATGCCCAGCCAGTTGCATTCAATAACCTACCTTCAACCACTTTAATGTAAAAATAGGTGTGAAGGTAGAGGGAAGAGGGCAGGTTTATACAAAGAAGAAAAGCACAATGCATAATAATGCAATGGCTCTTAGAGATGACTTGGAACACTAGATGGAAATATGAGGAAAAAGTTCTGGGAATATGATATCTTCAAGGAAGATCATAGGTTAGCCAGCCAGCCAGTGCTAAGGACCAAAGACATACTCAAACGGATTATTGAAGAGTCATGGGGAAGTAGAAAGAGAAAACAGTGGCAACCACAGCATGATCAAACCTCATATGGAATGGAACGTTTTTCAGGGCTTGGAAGGTTATTCACAATATTGCTTAGTCACTGGCGGCCTCTGTCGCAAATGGCTGTTCCTTTTGTGGGGCTCCACTGTCATGCTCCAAGTTGTCTTGGAACTTACAGTGGTGTCACAGTCATTCGAGGTCCCAGTTCCAGGTTTATTAAAGATGAAGTTTCTTGATCTACTTAATGCAGTAGTGGTAAAAAGTTATAATTATTGTGATAACACTCTGATAGCCAAATGTCTCAAATTTGACTTACTCTAGTAATTCTATTATTGTTATTCTGAAAACTTCCTGGAAGCCTTGGACAAGCTCAGAACCTTATAACTTCTAGTATTGGAAAGAATGCCTGTGGCCCGTAGAGCAAGTCTTTGAATATGCTGCCCATTCAAGTAGCAATGAGTAACCAGGGTCCCCAGAGCAGCAACCACTTTGGTTTTGTGAAACTACTCATTGTTTTTTACTTTTTATTTTCAGTGATTATTTTTTAAAGGTTTTATTGATTTATTTTTAGAGAGAAGGGAGAGGAAGGAGAAAGAGAGGGAGAGAAACATCAATGTGTGGCTACGTCTCATGCACCTGCCTCTGAGGACCTGGCCTGCAACCCAGGCATGTGCCCTGACAGGGAATCGAATTGGCGACCCTTTGGTTCGCAGGCGGGTGCTCAATCCACTGAGCCACACCAGCCGGGGCTAGTGATTATTTTTATCTAAAATGTTTTTGAGATATAATTCAAATACCATACCATTCATGCAAACTGTACAAGTCAGTGATATTTAGTATGCTTACAAACAGTGCAACCATCTTCACAATCAGTTGCAGAACATTTTCATCACCCTCAAAAATAGCCACACCTAAGAGCAGTCTCTTCCTATTCCTCCCCCAGCCCTGGCAACCACTAATTTACTACTTATCTATGGATTTGCCTATTCTGGACATTTTGTATAAATGCGATCACACAGTACATGATCTGTTGTGACTGGTTTCTTTCACCTAGCATATGTTCAAGGTTCACTCATGGTGCTACATGGGTCTGTACTTCATTCCTTTGCATGGCCCAGTAGTATTTCATCCTACCAAAACACTGCATTTTGTGTCTCTATTTATCACTTGATGGATATTTGAGTTGTTTCTACTTTTTGAGTATTATGAATCATACAGCTATAAACATATATAGTTTTTCATTTCTCTTGGGTATGTATCTAAGAATGGAATTATTACAGTTAACACCGGTTCACTCGAACAAGGTGAGGAAATGCCAGAATGTTATCCAAAGCGGCTGCACTGGTCAGCGTGTTTACCAAACAGTGTATTGAGGGCTCACTAAGAAAAGTATAGAGGAAACATACTGGACCGGGAAACTTAATCCCTGTTTTTCCGGAGGGTTAAAGCTGCGCCAAAAAAAGCGATTCCCACCCCAAAGCCGAAACCCAGTGACGGACACGTACACACATTCTCTCTGGGTTGGGGCCGCAGGTCGCCTTCGATTCCCCAGAGCCACCTCCCGTTTATATCCCAGCAGCCCCCAGACTTCTCCGGGGTTTGTGGTGAGACGTGGGTGCGGCTGGGGGGTGCGGGGCGGGGACAGAGGCGGCTCCACGTCCCTAACCTGCACCCTCGCCTTGGCCTTGGGAAGCGCCTTCTCTCTGCAGGGACAGCCCTGGATCCAAGTGGAAAGGGAATGACGACGCTTTCGTTCCCGGTGTGGGAAGAGGCAGCCTAGTCCTGGGTGTTCCCCCCAAGGGGTCGGAGACAAAAATGGCTCTAGTTTAACTTTTGTGATCCCCACGGAAGCATTCCATATGCTGCTGTCCTTCGGGTGAGAGCTTCCCCGCCTCCACCCCTAGGTTTCTAGGGACCCCAAGTTATAAAACGAGGAAGACCCTTGAGGCTACCAAGCTCCACCACTGACTTTTTTAATAGCGGACAAACTTAAACCTCTTTAGTGTTTGCTCACCCCCAAACTCATTACCATTAATGATGATGATTAAAGAGCGAAGCCTAGTGAAAAACGTGATCTGGATGCGGTGGGGAAAAATTATATACATTCCACCCTTTAAGTTTCAGGACTTTCTGAATGTTTTTTATGTGTATAATTTCAAACATTAGTTCGAGTTTTCAGTTGTGGTGGCTGAGCTTCACTGGGTGCGATGAGTAGTGAAGGGAGTTGGTGGCGGTTTGGCAGGAAGTGTGTTGGGCCGCTAGGAAGCTACCTGGGCTCTCTCTCTGCCACTGGTTAACGGGGTGGTCTTGGACAAAACACCAGCAAGTGTCAATTTGCTACTAAGTAAAAGAAACTGGATTATCTCAAAGGAACTTTCCAACTCAGAAACTGATTGAGAGTGATTTCACTGTGAAAAATCCAGCCAGGCCAAACCTAAAGGCTCTATCTCTGTTTCCTGCAGTGTCACCAGGATAAAGAAACTCTTTGTTCAGAGAGAGAGAGAACGTTTCAGTGCAAGTCAGTGCTAAAGAGGTAATATGCAATCAGTAAATGAATTGTGGAGAATACACTGAAAGCAGATCATTGAAACCTTACTATTTGCTGGAGAAATAGGTTGATTACACAGTAAAATAGAAGATGTACAAGTAACTCACCCATTGACATTTATGTAGCTTAAACCTGCTACTATAATATTTCTTCCATTCTTATTCAGCTGTTTCATAAATAACCAGGTAGTTGCAATATAGCAAAATCTGTTAATTTATAAATGACATGCCCTTCAGGCCTATAATGAATTTGTTAAACTTTCTACAAATAGGCAGAAAATGTTGGCATTATATTCATTCAAACAAATGTTTTAAAATGTCTATGGGTTGCAAGGAACAATGTTTAAGTGACTTACGGGCAACCATGAAAGCAAAAGATAGTTTTGATTCATGTGGAGTAATCTAAATGAGATAAGGCATGAAAGCATTAAAAATTAAGTTTCAGGGTAAAACCTTCAAAATGTTACATACCAAACTAGTAATGGAGAGAGTAAGTCTAGGGTCAAGAGATGACAGGGTGCTAGGACGGCTCAAGAAATGTAAAATAAAACCCAGCCTTTCTACTGGTGCTTGACCAGAATATGAGCAGGAAAACATCTAGAAGGGCCTTTCCAGGTCAGAGAAGAGTGACAGCTCCTGACCTCAGCCCCGAGTCTCTGAGTTTCATGCCCTTGGAGTCCTTTCGTTTTGATTCATACTGCACTGTAGGGGAAGGCCCCTGGGAAAGTGTCCTCCTCCCCTTCCCACCTTTAAAACTTAGACCCAGGTGTCAAACACGAAGATTTCTTTTCCTCAATCTCCTTAAAATACGTAAGACAAAATGGAATTTTCAGAAGATATATCGCTAAAAATGAAGGGAAATAAGCACAGAACATACAATTGTTGGCAGATGAACATAAGATGGGTAACCAATGATGACAGAGTATGTTAATGCTGTAAGATGGGTACAAAAAAGTTAGGGCTTATCAAGGCCTAACTTTTAGAAAAAGTTTCAAGATAAATATATTGAATTTATATTATATTTCTATTTTAAAATATAAATACAAGTTCTAATTTTTTGCCCTGTGCCCCAGTGGATCATCTCGTACACCCTGCTTTGCTGATCACCTTAGAGTGACCAGACCACTTCTTTTAGAGTGACTGGATGGCAGTGTGACAGCGTTGTTGGGGCCTTGGACTTCGGACTTGGGTGTGAGTCCTGCACCAGCCATATGTTATCTAGTCTTTCTCATCTTCTCTTTTTCATCTGTAAATCAAGAATAATAATCATGCCCTGGCTGGTGTAGCTCAGTGGATTGAGCGCGGGCCTGCGAACCACACGATCGCGGTTTGATTCCCAGTCAGGGCACATGCCTGGGTTGCAGGCCGGTTCCCTGCAGGCCATTTCCCAGCAGGGGACGCACAAAAGGCAACCATACATTGATGTTTCTCTCCCTCTCTCCTTCCCCCACTTCCCCTCTAAAGATAAATAAATAATAAAATATTAAAAAATAAAATAAAATAAAAACCTGAAAATTGTTTGAAAATTGTTAAAAAAAAAGAAGAATAATCATGTGTACTTTATTAGGTTTCCACAGGTATTAATGAGCTGAGTGTGTAAGGCACCAAATACACCTGGCACACAGCTAACATTACCATGTCACACCTTTGGGTTTAGTAAATCATCTTCACAAGGACTTATATGAGTTGTTAGCAGGACAGAAATCCAATGTGACCTTTTAAATACTTATTAAATTTTTCTTCCTTGCAGGATTATAAAAACCAATCTCATAAAACATCTAGGACAGAAAGGACAGTCCTGCAAATGTACCCTATTTGGATCAAGTGAGCCAGTTCCTTGAACCTGAATAATAACTGCTGAGTGAAGGGGTACTGACTATCTGTCCCCCCAGGCTGCCCAGGAGATAAAAACACAGCCATCATGAAAGTGGAGGAGGAAGATGAAAAGGATGGGGAAGACCATTTCAAAAAGAATGAGGTAAGACAGAGTTATCACCACAATCTCTTAGTCACTCCACAACTATGAATGAGAGAGCCTTATTATCATCATATTTTGTTGCATATCGAGTGGCAAACAAGAAAATGGCTCACACAGCTGCTGAGAAAATTATTCTTCTGGCATGTATGTACATAGTATGTACAATTTTTAATGATAAATCAGCTCATACATTAAGAACTGTTCCTCTTAGTGATAATACAATATCTCATTGAATCTGTACTATTAAAAAAACATTGAGAAGCAATGCTTATTACGCAGCTACAGTGTGGGGCAGATTTTGCTATTCAACTGGATGAAAGCACTAATACTGCAAGTTGTCCAAGAAACACTCTTGGTTTCTGTCCGATATGTATGGCAAGATGATTTTATAGAGGATATGTTGTGTTGTTTAAATTTAAATCTAAACCCGGCTGGGTTAGATTTATTTATTGAATTAGAAAAGTGTATTGTTCGTTAGTACAAATTAAACTGGAAAAATTGTAAGGGAATTTCCAATGATGGAGCAGCACGTGTGACTGGGAAACAAAGCGGAGTTGTTGAAAAATTATTAGAAGCAGCTCATAACAATGCTCTTTGGAATCACTGTTTTATTCATCTACAAGCTTTGGTATCCAAAGAAATCCCACCAAGTCTAATGGATGTATTGAGAAATGTAGTGAAAATTGTTAATTTCACTAAAGGAAGCTCATTGAACAGTTGACTTCTTGAACTATTTTGTTCAGAGACTGGAGTTAACCATACCCACTCACTATTTCATACAGAGATTTGTTGGTTGTCTCGAAGAAAAGTATTGAGCCAAGTATGTGAACTTGGAAATGAGATTTACACTTTTCCTCATTGAAAAGCAATCTCATTTGGCAACTCTTTTTGAAGATGACATTTGGGTAACAAAATTGGCATATTTAAGTGATATTTTTGGCATTCTTACTGAATTAAATTTGAAACTACAGGGGAAAAACAATGATATATTCCAATATCTTGAACATATCCTATGATTCCAAAAGACATTATTGTTGTGGCAAGCAAGACTTAAAAGCAGTCACCCCAGCTTCTACCTTTTCCCGACACTGTTACAACACCCTGAAAAGAACATTCTTAGTGAAGACTGCTTCAAAGAAACAAAATTGGAGATATTATTGCACCTCATTTCTTTATCTCAAATCTTTAATTACTACTTTCCAGAAAATAAATTTAAATTGTTAAAGGAAGCTATTTGGATGAAAGATTCATTTACTTTTCAAGCCCCACAATCAATCAATTGTTGAGTTAAACTTGGTGCCTGAAGAAGAGAATGAATTGTTGCAGCTCAGTTCACCATTCACACTGAGGAATTATGATAAGACATTAAGTTTATCAGCATTTTGGATGAAGCTTAAAGGTGAATTTCCATTGCTAAGTAGAAAGGGTATATTGCTATTATTGCCATTCACAACTACCCATTTGTGTGAACTAGAATCTTCAATCTTGACAGGATGAAAAACAAAGAAATGGGCTCAGCAGTGCTCCCGACACACATGTAGCCCCTGTGACCCTGACTGGGATGAACTCACGGACAAGCAACACACCCATCATGTTGAAAACAGTCTTTGTGAAACTTTGGCTTTGTACATTTTTTGGCATTTTGTATATTGTATTTAAATATTAATAAAAGTTACACTTGGAATTTACTAGGCTTCTTTTCATGGATAGTAACAGTAAGTATTGTTTCATGAAACTTGTATCAGTATATAGGATAATACTGTAAAATACAGGATCTGGCAGAAGTAATGCCTGCTTGAGTGTGGTTGGTGGGGTAATAATAGGGGTGTAATAATTTATAATTTTAATTTGACCATTTCACCTAAAATGTCATATGGTATGCTTGAGTGTGATATTGTTATGTTATAGAATTACACACTTATAATTTTGTAATTAAAAGGGGCAATATCTGTGCCAAACCCTGTATATATACATTGTCCATTTTGAAAATTAGTGCTCTTGACAATTTTGTACTCAGCTCTGGTTCGCCTGCCCACTGTCGCTGCCTTGGTCCTCCCTTTGAGTCAGAGCCCCATGCAGGTTCCATTATTCACCACTCATGTGCCTGCGTGCTCTCTGCTTTTTGTGCTAATTCCAGATAGTGAATCTTGATGTCAATTACAGTTTAACACCATCGTCCTTGTAACTGGGTTTCTGTGAGCAGGGGCACATGTTGTCATTCTAGCTAATGAGTTGTGCAGGGCCATCTACCAGCCCATTTCTGAGGTTTCCCTTGCTCTCAGAAAGAGACATAAGAGAAAAGATAGTGATTATTGTGGCATAGGTTATGAACCTCCCCAGATCCCTTCTTAAAAACACAGCAGCTAGGACAGCAAAACTGAAACCTGTGGACAGTGTCTACAGCAAAACCAGGTGACAACTTGCCACCTACAGTTACAAAACTAATGTAAGTCTCAGGTCATTGTGTAAAAGGGAGCAGAGAAGCAACAAGCATGTGAAAGATGTGAGAACTGCAAAATAATCAACAGGAACTCTTGCAAAATTTGGGTGAGCTATACTGAAAAAAGCAACTGAAACTAAGATGAGTTGGCACACTTCACTGGAGGGGAAGTTTTAGGGGTTTGTAGTAAAGTCTAGGAACAGTTTGGGCCCTGAGGAATAGAATCTAAATTGAACAAGACAGAGACAAGACAGACCAAGTCTTAATTTTGTGCCCTTGAGGACAAGGCAGAGTCCAGAAGACAGCCAGGCCCTCCAGCCGGGGGCCAGGGACCTCACTGGAGCAGTCTACAGACTTTATGTCACGACCCCTCAGTTCTGAGACAAGTCTGAACCAAGCAAATGGGGGTAGTGAATCCAATGTGCCCCATCCCTTCCATTTGCCCCCCAGGGCCCAAGAGCCAGGGAGTGCTGCCCAGTGGCTTTCAGAAGAAAAGGAGCCTGCAGTACAGCCAAAGCTTGGGGTGTCTTGTCTACACCCCATCTGGGCCAACATTAAGTCAGCAGCACTGGGCTCATGCAAAAGTGACAGTGAGACAAATGGGTCCTGGCCTAGAAATGCTGAAACTGAGGATTTTTGACATGAGAAATGGAAGGTAAAGGACGGCAGAAGGTCCCACAGCCAGGAGTTGAGACCAGGTCCAGTTGTGAACCTGTCACTTCCCAAGTGAACTGGCCTGAGTTTGTTAGCAGGTTATCCTTTTTTATTTTATTTTTATTTTTTAATATATTTTATTGATTATGCTATTACAGTTGCCCCAATTTCCCCCCTTCATTCCCTGCCGCCCTGCACACCCTCTCCCACCCACATTCCCCCACTTTAGTTTATGTCCATGTGTCTTAAGTTCTTTAGTTTCTACATTTCCCATACTATTCTTGCCCTCCCCCTATTTTCTACCTACCATCTATGCTACTTATTCTCTACCTTCTCCCCCTGTCTCGTCCTCCCACTCCCCTGTTGCTAACCCTCCATGTGATCTCCATTTCTGTGGTTCTGTTCCTGTTCTAGTTTGCTTAGTTTGTTTTTGTTTTAGGTGTGGGTGTTAATAATTGTGAGTTTACTGTCATTTTACTATACATGTTTTTTAAAGATTTTATTTATTTTTAGAGAGAAAGAAGTGAGGGAGAAAGAGAGAGAAAAACATCAATGTGTGGTTGCCTCCCACGTGGCCCCTGTGCACTGACTGGGAATTGAACCAGTGACTCCTTGGTTTGCAGGCCACACTCAATCTACTGAGCTATACCAGCCAGGGCTACTATACATGATTTTTATCTTCTTTTTCTTAGATAAATCCCTTTAACATTTCATATAATAAGGGCTTGGTGATGATGAACTCCTTTAACTTGACCTTATCTGAGAAGCACTTTATCTGCCCTTCCATTCTAAATGAAAACTTTAGTGGATAGAGCAATCTTGGAGGTAGGTCTTTGGATTTCATGACTTGGAATACTTCTTTCCAGCCCTTCTTCCCTGTAAGCCCTCTTTTGAGAAATCAGCTGATAGTCTGATGGGTAACTTTGTAGGTCCTTTGTAGGTAACTGTCTTCTTATCTCTTGCTGCTTCTAGGATTCTCTCCTTCATTTTAATCTTGGCTAATGTATTGATGATGTGCCTTGGTGTGTTCCTTCTTGGGTCCAACTTCTTTGGGACTCTCTGAGCTTCCTGGATTTCCCGGAAGTCTATTTCCTTTGCCAGATTGGGGAAGTTCTCCTCTATTATTTGTTCAAATAACTTTTCCACTTGTTGCTCTTCCTCTTCCCCTCTGGTACCCCTATCATTTAGATGTTGGAACATTTAAAGATGTCTTGGAGGTTCCTAAGCCTCCCTCATTTTTTTGAATTTTTGTTTCTTCATTCTTTTCTGTTTGGTTGTTTCTTTCTTCCTTCTGATCCACTCCATTAATTTGAGTCCAGTTTTCTTTCCATGACTGTTGGTTCCCTGTGCATTTTCCTTAGTGTAGCCTTCATTTTTTCATCTAATTTGTGACCAAATTCAACCAGTTCTGTGAGCATCCTGATCACCAGTGTTTTGAACTGTGCATTTGATAGGTTGGCTATCACTTGGTCGCTTAAAGCCCCAGTATTGGCCCTGGGGCTTTGATTTGTTCTGTTTGAGCCATAATTTTTTTGGTCTGGTTGCACCTGTTACCTATGAGGGCCAGAGCCTTAGGTGTTCACCAGAGCAGGGCAACCCAATTGCTGGGTTGTGGTGCTGTATGTGGGGCAGGGGTCAGAGAGAGAACAATGGCACTTGCTCTGCTCATATTTCAGTCCCTTCCGCTGCTTCCCACAAGCAAGTTGTGCCCTTCTGGTGCTGACTCCCATGTGGGTGGGCTTGTGTACATTTTAGGACCCTGTGGGTCTCTCCAGCGAACTTTTCTATGAGGCTGGAAGTCTCTCCCAGCACTTCAACCCCCACAGGTGTTGTCAATTGGTGTTTTGAGGCTTTATTTCCCCATGCTGGGACCCTGGTTTGTGCAGTCTGTCTCACTCCCCAATTTAACCTGGTTTATCTGCACGTGAATGTGGGACCACCTGGTCAGCCATCCACCTTGTCCACAGGACCTCGCTTCACAATCACCACCTTGCTGGGTCTGCCCACTGCCATCTTGAGAGCACCGGGTGCCTGTGCACCCAGTGCCACCACTTTTTGTGCCATGACCCCTCTCCACTCGGCTGCCCAACTCCACCCTGCCTACCAGTCTGGATGAATGTGTCTATTTTAACTCCTTGGTTGTCCAACTTCCATACAATTCAATTTTCTATCATTTCTGGTTGTTATTTTGTTTCTAAATTGTCATTGTCCTCATTTTGGTCATGCGAGGAGGCACAGTGTGTCTACCTACCCCTCCATCTTAGCCGGAAGTCTCCAGGCTATCCTTTTTTACCTAAGGATCTTCTGCAAACAGTCCTACATTTTATTAGGTATAATGATAATTGTTAGCACCAGACACTCCATCCTGGGGGTGGGTCTCGGAACATGTGCAAATGCTTACAGTTCTTACCATATGGTTGGTGCCAAAGGGGTGATGCAGAAATGGGTACAGCCCAAGCACCAGATCCCAGAGTTAGGAGACAGGTTTCTAGCCCCATGTGCCCTTCCTTGACTGTCCCCACTCCATTCACCATGGGCTCAGGGAGCTAGAAAACTTTATGGAATATTAAAATGATCATGTTGAATTTCTTCATTTTACAGGTGAGAAAACTGACTCACCAGCCAGGATTAGAAATCCTGGTCTTTAATACTTCCCATGTTTTTTTCCTCTATGTTACAGTAGTACCGTTTTAGTATTAAACTCAGTGCAATATAATTAAGAAGAAATCTATGGTTAAATATATTCCAAAGAGTAGAGGGAAATGGGTTTTGACTTATCCATTTTGTTAGGATAATTGAGCCAATAGCTTTTTTTCAGCTGCATCTATCAATTGGCTCAATCTACATGTTGTTCTCAAGGCACACAGCCAAGCATAACACTTGGGGTGCCTGGCTTTTGTCTAATGGAGGACAGGAAGTAGAGACGACAGCTCTTTGTTAGTCAACTACAGCACTAATTAACTTGAAAAGGCATAATTTCCACATCCTAGGAGGTCATAGCACCTCTGACCTTCCACTGGCCTCTCTCACCTGCCACCTATTGCCATTCTTCCCGTTCCTTCCTGGCTCTTGCCTTCTAATTACCTAGACATGGAGTGGGGTGGACAGGTAGAGATGGAGTGGAGTGGACAGTTAGAGATGGCATGGGACAGTTGGTAAAGAGCAGAGAACCTCCAAAGTCCCAAATACTCCCAGCATCAATTTGACATGCCTGGAAGCTGGTAATGACAAGCTGTGTTAGATGCTGCCAGGGCAATCAAAGGGGACCAAACCATGGTCTTTGCCCCCTACCAGAGGGAAACTCTTTGAAGAAAACAAACTTGGAGATGACAACCAACTAAAATGCAAAGAGAAATTTCAAATGAAATGCTAAAGTACAGGTGAGAAAAAAGTTTCTATGGACCCTCATAAGAGAGGACTCTAATGATGAAAAAGATTTCATAGAAGTCCTATCTAAAAACTGGGGCAAGAAGGGGTGTGGGTGGAAGGGCATTTCCATTTAAAGAGAACAACATGGACGAAGGAGGAATGCGCTGTAGGAATGACGCAGAGTTCTCAAAGGGAGTATGTGGGGAACTGATGGGGAAAGGCTTT